CATGTCAAGCAATTTTCCCGTCCTCTGCAGACACCAACTGGGTGTTCTACAATCTAATTCAATGCAGGCAATAACTACTGGGAGTTTTTGTAGACCATACAGGTTAAGGGCTTAGTCCCACAAGACTGCCCCTGATTCAGAAGCCAATTACAAGTCATGGGTCTCTAAGTTACCCACACTTTTGTTTGACTTGGTTACAAATTAAGAGTTTCCATGACCCCTTCCTCATGTTTATGTTATAATGACTCACAGAAATTAAGGAAATACTTTATTTACTATTACTGGTTTATTATAAAGGATATTTTAAAGTTTACAAATGAACAGCCTGATGAAGAGGTACATGGGGTGAGGTCTGCAAGTGTCCCAAGTACACGATATTCTATCCCTGTGGAGTTTGGGGTGTGCCACTCTCCCAGCTTGTAGATGTGTTTGCCAACTTAGAAGCTCTCCAAATCCCTTTGTTTAGTGTTTTTATGGAGATTCAATTACTTCCATCGGTGATTAATTCAATTCTCAGCCTCTCTCCTCTCCTTGGAGGTTACAGAATGGGGCTGAATATTCTAACCCTCTAATCTCTTGATTGGTTCCTTTGGTTCCTCAATGATTTTTAAGAGACTATAGAGGTCCTGAGACCAAAAAGTTTAAGAGCCAATGCCCTAGGGAAATGACTATATCTTGGCACCAGGATACATGTACCATGTAATCTGAGAGATTAAAATGAATGCCCCTGTATCAACTAAGGCAGATCCTTAGGTTCAGGAAACAAAAGTTACCTATGGGTTGAGGATTCAGGGCCTGAATGGCATGACAAATTTCTAAATTCTTGTAACTATAAGAAACAGTAGGATCTAGTAGATGATTTGCAGCCCAGACCACTACAACTCTGACTGGACAGGAGCCCAATCTTACAAATATTCTTCTCTGATAAGAAATTGTATACCTTAAGCCAGTTTCAGCCAGCTTACAGGGCCTGTGCACAAACTGCCTTTGCATCCTATAGTTTTCCTTTTGATGTAAAAAGCCAAATTCTACTTCATTCTAATGCTAAAATGCCAGCCCAAAGTAAACATGGGATGTATGTTACCCATGTTTGTCCATTGCGCATGTGCTTGACTCCCTTTATAATTGTGTATAGCTTTCCCTCAAGCCTGCTGAATGTGTATGATACCACCCCTGTGAGGCCTAAAACCCAACTTGTCCTTCCCCTCTTAGAAGAGAGTACCTTTAGTCCACAGCAGACACTATCTCTTCCCAGTTTGCACACCGATGTCCTCAATAAAGCTCTCCTTTCTACTATTTAGCCATCCTGGTGGTCTTTTGGGCAACAACTATATACAAATAGTCATAGCAATCACAGCTACATATAACATGGGTGAATCCTAAAAACAATCATTTTTTTTTTGAGTTGGAGTCTCACTCTGTTGCCCAGGCTGGAGTGCAGTGGCACACTCATGGCCACCCCAGCATTGATCTGCTGGGCTCCGACAATCTTTCTGCCTCAGTCTTCCAAGTAGCCAGAACTCCAGGTGCGTGCTACCATACCCAGCTAATTTTTTGATTTATTATAGAGACGAGATCTTGCTAAGGTGCCCAGGCTGGTCTCGAACCCGTGGGCTCAGGCAATCCACTTGCCTCAGACTCCCAAAGTGCTGGGATTACAGGCTGGGCCACTGAGTCTGGTCAACATTAATCATTTTTGAGAAAAGAAATCAAACTCAAATAAATACATATGAAGGGGGACCCAAAAAACCCCAGACCTTATTTATAAAAAATTATGTATTTATTCTCACATATTTAAACTTCAGTTACCTTCAAAGTACTCTTCCTTTAATGCAGTACACATGTCGAGATGCTTTTTCCACTGCTCAAAACAAACTCATCAATTTTGATGTCCTTTAGTGCTTCTGCCGTTTTTTGTTTCACCTCTTCCACATCAGTCAAATGTTTCCCTTTGAGGACCATTTTCATCCAGGGAAACAAACAAACAAAAAAGTCACTTGGGGGCAGGGTTGCATGAATAAGGAGGGTGGAAGACAAGGGTCATGATGTTTTTGGTCAAAAACTGTTGAACACTCAGCACAATGTGGGCAGGTATGCTTGTAAATCACCCATTAGAAATGGGCAAACTTGTTGAGAGAATCTCCAAAAAAATTCACTGGTGCCAAACACAATCTCTCCCAACAATGCTAACTGGTACACTGATGCTGGTGGGTTTCTAGAATATTTACCTAGCAGGGGAAGCCTGTACTACAAGGGGCTCACCCTTCAAAAAAATTCCTTTTTTTTTTTGCGTTCCCTCATACTATAGGGTTCCATTTATATAAAGTCCAGAAATGACAAAACCGAACACGATTGCTAGGAAGACATACTTTGGCACTAAGAATATAAAGAAAAATAAAGACGTGACAGCTATAAAAGTCAGAATAGTGGGTTCCTTTGTGGGGGAATAGGTTGTGAGTGAGAGAGATCATGTGGAGTACTTCTTGGGTGCTGGCAATATTTTATTTCTTGATCGACCTGGTCGTATTACTTTAGCATAATTCATTTATCAATATGTTTATTTGTAATATACTAATTCATAGTTGTGCTATATTTGACAAAAATGTTAAATTTTCTCTTAATTTTAAAGATGTGGGGTACAATTCAGGGTTAGGTATACAAAAATGTTCATTATGCAGATACCCTGATTGATGAGGTGTCTCCCCCCACTGGCAGTTTCCCACCACTGCCAATCCCTTTCTTACAGTATTATGATAATTGTTCAAGATCTGCTTATGAGTGAGAACATGCGATACTCAGTTCTTTATTTCTGCAATAGATCACTTAGTATTAGAGACTCTAAGTCCATCCAAGTTGCCGCAAAGTTCATAATTTATATTTGACAAAAAAAAGTTTTAAAAATGGAATTATACCAAACAAATGGCTCCCCTGGATGTTGATTGGAAGGACATCTCCTCTTCCTGGCTCCAGCCATGCTCAGACTGTGGTCACTCTGGGGGACATTTATTCTATTCTGGCCTACATCATTCATAGCCTTTTCCTGCCACATGCTTAGTTTGTGAAATTCCTCCATTTTTGTTTTAAAGACCACTGGAAACACCAGAACCACTTTCTTTGAATTGCCTACTGAAACCTAATGTCTTTATTTGTAGCAAGCAATACTACAGCATACAGGGTTTGGATTCTTTAGCTTAATCATATGTTATAGGCGTCCTCCTAAGTCAGGCTTTAAAACAGTTGCAACGTATTTGATTATGTGGTTGTACCACAATTTATTGAACCAGCCCTCTGTTGGTAGGTATCTAGGTGGTTTTTAATTTTTTGGCATAACATATGAGGGGGCGGTTTCTGAAAAACCTAGAATTATTTTTTGGAGGGTCAGCCCCTTATAGTACAGGCTTCCACTGCTGGGTAAGTGTTCTAGGAATTCATCGGCATCGGCGTATTAGCTAGTGTTGCTATGAGAGGCTGCATTCAGCTTCAGTGATTTTTTTTTTTTTGGAGATACTTTCAGTTACGCAGTTATACAAGCACATCTGCCCACACTGAGCTGAATGTTCAGCAGTTTTTGACCCAAACGAGCATGACCCCTGTGTCCCCCCTCCATATTCACCTGATCTCACCCCAAGTGAATTTTTTTTTTTTGTTTCCCTGGATGAAACATTTTGCCGATGCGGAAGAGGTAAAACAAAAAAGGGCAGAAGTACTAAAAGACATCAAAATAAACAAGTTCAAAAACTGCTTTGAGCCGTGGAAAAAGCATCTTGATAGGTGTATTGCATCAAACAGAGAGTACTTTGAAGATGACTACAGTTTAAATGTGTAAGAATAAACACACAAATGTTTGTAAACAAATTCTAGGTTTGTTGGGTCCTGCTTCATATAAGCAAGAAAATGGCCTTTGTCTTATTGGACTGCCTAAAGTAACTGTATTGTCTTATTGGACTGAGGTCTGTGGGGATGGGGCGAGTCACTGGTGTCTGCAGCTGCAGCTCAGCACCCAGGACACAGAATGTGAAATAATTGTGGAATGAATTAATGAAGACTGATAGAATGAACTGCATTATATCAGTGTGAGTACAAAGAATCCTTTTAAAAAGGATTCTTTTTAAAAAAAATTGATTGATTGGTTGAGATGGTGTCTCACTATTTTGCCCAGGCTGGTCTTGAACTTCTGGTCTTAAGTAATCCTCCTGCTGCAGCCTCCCAAAGTGCTGGGATTATAGGCATGTGTCACCACTTAATGGTCCAAAGACAGAATTCTTTATGCAAGCCCCTTAAGCAAAGTAGCAGACAGGTAGTGAATGGAGCCCAGTGGTTTAGACCTGAATTTCAATGGATTTAAATCCCTGCTCACCCACGTTACTTTACTTTACTTTAGGCAGTTATTTAAATTCTCTTTTGCTTCAGTGTTCTCATCTGTAAAATGAGTACAATAATGGCATCTGACTTAGAGGACTGCTGTGAGGATTAAATGGGTGAATACATGTACATAAATGTCTTTGAATGGAACAAGCACATCAGCATTCATTAAAGAGTAGTAGACTTCAACTCATTCCAATTGTAAAACTTGTAGCAAGAACGATGCCCCTCTTGAGGTGATGACACAGAAGCCAGGTTCTTCTGGCTACTGCTTTTGCTTTCTTTTGGCTACTGGTGGTTGTTGCTTTGACTTGTTTATGTGAGGTCAGTTTTGCTTCTGCAGAATCAGCTTTTCCCTTACAGAGAGTATTTATACATGGAGTCTGTCACCACGGAGACAGTCAACAGTAGAGAATTCAAGATCACATCACATCTCCTTGGAGACTGAAAGTGGACTCTTGGGACATTTCCCCCCCTCTGAAGTTATCAGGATGCTGTCTATTACCCACTCAAGAGAGTAATTGGGAAGAAAAAAAAAGGCACCCCAACTTAGTAACTTCATAATACCTCCCCCTCTTTCGAAACCTGTCAAGTAAAAAACGTGTCAAGTCAAAGAAACTTGGGGGCAAATCCTTACCATGTTTTCAACTGCAATAAATCCACAGTCATTGTCTACTCCAAGCTGGCAGATTGAGACCAAGTATTCAACCAGAGTGCTCACTGGAAATTGGATGGAAGAGAGGAGGAAGGTAAGAAGGGAGAGAGGGTGGGCAGAAGATTTAGAGGGAGGACTGAGAGGGAGTTGAAGGAGTGCAAGTTTGCCTCTATTTTCAAATCAAGAGCAGCAGCTGGTTGCATTTTAAGAATCAAGGTCCCTATTAAGGGTTGTCAATATAGTTATGCCTCTCAGTACTATTCTCAGTGTAGTGTTTCCAGGCATCTGGATATTCCCTGTCTTCAATATCTTTGCATGTTGATTTAAAGAATATCTGCTGTGCTTGACTTGACCTTTCCCTGAGGCAGACTTGGCTCTCTTTGCATTGATGCCCAGGGATACACGGTTACTCTCCTACACCTGTTCCACAATCTTGCCCCAACTGTGCATTTCAAGTTTTACTTTTAAGTGGAACAAATAGGCTCTTGGTTTTCCTATGTGCTTTAAAGACCTTTGGAATATACTTTGCCTGAGTTGGCCTGTTTGAAATTGAGTATCATCAGCTGTGGCCAGTAAGACCAAACCACTTACAATTTTGCAAAGACATCTACACATACTCATGTCTTTTTGGGAAAAGAGGGTGAGATAGAATCGACAGCTTTGGTGTGGGAACAGAGGCTCAGAACATTACCTACTGGTTAGAAAATATTGTCCCGTGTACTGAGCCAGTCAACTAAGATTAGAAGAGTTGGCTGTTTTTTGAAATTGCCCAGTTTTCAACAAAAAGCTATCAGTTATACAAAGAAAGAGGAAAACTTGGCTCATCCAAAGGAAAAAAATAAAGTGGTAAAAACTCTCCCTGAAGAAACATAGGCATCAAAGTATTAGTCAAAGATTTTGGTGCTGGGTGTGGTGGCTCACGCCCATAATCCCAGTACTTTGGGAGGTGGAGGCGAGAAGATTGCCTGAGCCTATGAGTTCAAGACCAGCCTGGACAACATGGTGAGACCTCATCTCTACAATAAATAAAAAAAAATTAGCTGGGTGTGGTGGTGCATGCCTGTAGTTCCAGCTACTTGGAAGGCTGAGGCAGAGGGATCACCTGATCCCAGCAGTTGGAGGCTGTGGTGGTCATGAGCACGCCACTGCACTCCAGCCTGGGTGCCAGAGTAAGACTTCGACTCAAAAACAAAACAAAAGACTTTAAAGTAACTGTCTTAAATATGCTCTAAGAGTTAAAGGAAAACACAGACAGGGGACTAAAATAAATCGGGAAACCAAATATGAACAAAATGAGAGTATAAAAAAAGAGATTGAAATTATAAAACAGATTCAAACAATCACTAGAAGTCAGTGAGTGATATATTTATATCACAAAAGGAAATAAAAAGTGATCTAAAATGTGTCTTTACAAAAATAAACTATACACAAAAGAAGGTAATACGAGAGACAATACAGGACAAAAAGCTACCAGACATATAGAAAACAAAACAAAATGGCAAAAGCCTTTCCTTATCAGTAATTTCTTTAAATATAAATGGATTAAACTCCCCAATCAAAAGGCATAGATTGGCAAAAAAGTTTAAGAAAACAGGGTTTAGACGTCTATGGCCATACCACCCTGAATGCATCCTATCTTGTCTGATCTTGGAAGCTAAGTAGGGTCTGACCTGGTTAGTAATTGGATGGGAGAAAATAGGATTTAACTATATGCTGTCTACAAGAGACTGGCTTTAGATCTAAGTACATACATAAGTTGAAAGTGAAAGGAAGGAAAAACATATTTTATGCAAATAGTAGCTAAAAAGGAGTAGAGATGGTTGATATCAGACAAAATAAACTTTAAGTTAAAAACTATTATGAGACAAAGAAGGACATTATGCAGTGATGAAATTGTCAATTCACCAAGAAGATATAATAATTATAAACATATATGCATCAAATATTAGAGTTCTAAAATATATAAAGCCACAATTGACAGCATTAAATAGAGAAATAGATGGTTCTACAATAATAATATATTTTGATACTTAATTTTTAATATGAATAAAACAACCAGACAGAAGATCAATAAAGAAATAGAGAATTTTGGGCCAGAGACAGTGACTCAAGCCTGTAATCCCAGCACTTTGGGAGACTGAGGTGAGAGGATTGCCTGAGCCTAGGGGTTCGAGGATAGCCTGGGCAACTTGGCGAGACCTTGTCTCTACAGTAAATCAAAAAATTAGCCAGGCATGGTGGCTCACACCTGTAGTTCCATCTACTTGGAAGGCTGAGGTGGAAGGATTGCCTGAGCCCAGCAGGTCGAGGCTGTGGTGGCTGTGAACAGCCACTTCACTCCAGCCTGGACAACAGAGAGAGACTCCAACTCAAAAAAAAAATAGAGTCTTTGAACAACACTACAGACCAATTGGACATAACAGACATATGGAGCATACCACCAAATAGCAGAATACATATTTTTCTCAGCGAACATGAAATATTTTCCAGGATAGTTCATATGTTAGGCTACAAGTTTTAATAAATTTAAAAAGATTGAAATCATACCAAGTATTTTTTTCTGATTACAAGTTTAATGAACTTAAAAATTAATAGCAGGAAAAAAAACTAGAAAGCTTGCAAATATGTGAAAATTAAGCAAAACACTCTTAATGAAAACCAATGAGTCAAAACAAATCATACAAAAAACTGAAGATCTCTTGAGGCAAATGATGATAAAAATTCAACATACTAAAATTTACGGGATGCACTGAAAGTAGTGCTAAGAGAGAAATTTATAGTTGTACACACATTAAAAGAGAAGAAATATCTCAAACTAACAACCTAACTTTACACTTTAGGGAATTAGGAAAAAACCCACCTAAACTCAAAACTAGCAGAAGGAAGGAAATAATAAAGATTAGGGGAGAGAGAAGTAAAATAGAGAATAGAAAAACAAAAGAAAAAATAAACAAAAATAAGAGCTGGTTCTTTTGAAAAGACCAAAAAAATTGACAAAATTCTAGCTAGATTACTAAAAAAAAGAGAAAGTACTCAAATAACTAGAATCAGAAATGAAAATGGGGAATCATTACTGATTTTTTTTTTTCAGAAATGAGAGACTATACTGTGAACAATTGTACACTAACAAACTGGATAACCTAGAAGAAGAAATGGACAAATTCCTAGAAATATACACCCTACCAAGAGTGAATCATGTATAAATAGAAAATCTGATTAGACCTATATAAAGTGAAGAGATTGAATTATTAATTAAAAATATCCCAACAAAGATGAGTCTAGGACCAGATGGTTTCACTGGTGAATTCTAACAACTATTTAAAAAAGAACTAACATCAATCTGTCTTAAACTCTTTCAAAAACTTGAAGAGGAGGAAACATTTCCTAACTTTTATGAGGCCAGCATTACTCTGATACCAAAGACACACAAAGACCTCACAAAAAAACACAATTACAGATCAATATCCCTTATGAATATTGATATAAAAATCATTAAGAAAATAGTAGAAAAATGCACTAAATAGCATATTAAAGGAATCATACACCATGATGACCAATGGAATTTATTCCTATACTATAAGAATGGTTTAATATGTGAAAAATTAATCATATTAGAATGAAGTAGTTGAATGAAGGGAAAAGAATCACGTGATCACCTCAATTAATACAGGAAAAAGTACTTGACAAAATGTAACCCCTTTACATAATAAAAACACTCAACAAACTAGGAACAGAAGGAAACTACCTAAACATAATAAAGACCATATATGAAAAACCCACAGGTAACAAGATAATCAATGGTGAAAAACCGGAAGCTTTTCCTTTAAAACAGAAGTGTCCAGCATTTTGGCTTCCCTGGGTCACATCAAGTAAAGAAGTATTGTCTTGGGCGGCACATAAATTATATAATATAGTTTGTGTGTGTGTGTGTGTGTGTGTGTATGACTTCTTTTTAAATATTTTTTATTATAAAATGTAGAAAAATGAGAACAGTATAAAACTAGTGGGAAATTTGACTTTATTTTTGTAAAATGAATCTATCAGTGTCTGGTTCAATGAAAGTGGTAGCAATTCTTAGTGAGTTCTCAAGGTGCTCGTCAGAAATGTTTGTCCGAATTTTTCTCTTCATGCACTTCATAATCGAAAAGAGTTGCTGACAAATGTATGTGCTGCCAAAAATTAATGTCATGAATAAGGTGTGATTGTGAAATTCAGGAATGAAACTACCCATAGGGTCACAAAGAAAATCAATGCTAAAAAACACATGATGTTAAATGATTTTGTGGGGCCTCATTACTAGCTGTCCTGGACTACATGCAGCATGTGGGCCACGGGTTGGACATGCCTGCTTTAAAATTAGGAATAAGACAAAGATGTCTGCTTTTGCCACTTCTATTCAACACAGTACTGGAGTTTCCAGTCAGAACAATTAGGGAAGAAAAAAAGGTATCCAAATTGGAAATGAAGAACTAAAATTATTTCTTTTTGGAGATGACATAATTTTAATGTAGAAAACTTGAAAGACCACACACACACACACACACACACACACACACACACACACACACACTCTTAGAACTAATAAATGAATTCACAAAGTTGCAGGATATAAAGTCAACACAAAAATATCAGTTGTGTTTCTAAACACTAACAATGAACTTTGAAAGGAAATTAAGAAAATAATTTCATTTACAATAACATAGGGAAGAATAAAATGCTTAGAGATAACTGAGATGAGAGACTTATACTCTGAAAACTATAAAACAGTACCAAGAAACTAAAGAGAATATAAATAAATGAAATGACATCCTGTGTTCATGGATGGAATATTTAATATTGTTAAGATATCAGTACAGGTTGGGCATGGTGGCTCAAGTCAGTAATTCTAGCACTTTGGGAGGCCGAGGTGAGAGGATTGCCTGAGCCCATGGGTTCGAGACCATCCTGGGCAACATGGTGAGACCTCGTCTCTACAATAAATCAAAAAATTAACCTGACATGGTAGCACATGGTAGCTCCAGCTATTTGGAAGACTGAAGTGAAAGGATTGCTGGAGCCCAGCAGGTTGACACTGGGTTGGCCGTGAGCAAGCCACACACTTCAGCGTGATACACAGAATGATACTCCAACTCAAAAAAAAAAAAAAAAGATATCAATACTGTGCAAAGGTTATCTACAGATTCAATGCAACTCCTGTCAAAATCTCAGTAACTTTTTTTTTCATAAATAGAAATAATCCATCGTAAAATACATATGGAATATCTAGGAACCCCAAATAGCCAAAGTGATCTTGAAAAAGAACAAAGTTGAAAGACTTGACTGGGTGTGATGACTCATGCCTGTAATCCAAGCACTGAAGGCTGATGTGAGAGAAATGCTTGAGATCAGGAGTTCAAGTCTAGCCTGGGTAATAGTGAGACCCTGTCTCTATAAAAAAAAGTTGAAAGACTCACACTTCCTGGATTCAAAACTTATTACAATAAGTTTTGTAACTTCAGAAAGCTACAATAATCAAGACAGTGTGATATCAGCATAAAGACAGTTACATAGATCAATGGAACAAAAGAGAGAGCCTAGAAATAAACACTGTATATATGGTCAAATGACTCTTGACAATGGTTCAAGGATCATTCAATGGGGGAAAGACAGTCTCTTCAGCAATGGTGCTGGGAAAACTTCATATCGGCATGCAAAAGAGTGAAGTTGGACTCTTACCTAACACCATGTACAAAAATTGGCCCAAAGGAAATCAAGACCTAGATGTAAGACCTAAAACTATAAAACTCTTAGAAGAAAACGTAAAGGGAAAGTTTCATGACCTTGAATTTGGCAATGATTTAAAAACATGATGCCAAAAGTAAGGCAACAAAAGAAAAAATAAACTGGACTTCATAAAAATGGAGATGTTTGTGCATCCAAGGACATTATCCGAGTAAAATGATTTTACTTTGCAGTAAAATGGCAATCAATGGAATGGGAGAAAATATTCGCAAGTCATATATCTGATAAGGAATTAATATCCAGAATACATAAAGAACTTCTGCAATTCATCAACAATGAAAACCAAACAACCTGATTCAAAAATGGGCAAAGGACTTAAATAGGTATTTATCCAAAGAAGATATGCAGATGGCCAATAGACACATGAAAAAATGTTCAACATGACTCATCATGAGGAAAATGCAAATCAAAATCACGATGAGCTATCACTTCACACTCATTAGGCTGGCTATTATCAAAGCAGAAAATAACAAATGTTGATAGGAAGTGAAGAAATGAAACCTCTGTGCACGGCTGTTGGGAATGTAAAATGGTGCTTCCTCTGTGAAAAACAGTATGATAAGTTCCCAAAAATATTAAACACAGAACTACTATATGATCCAGCAATTCCACTTCTGGCTGTATATCCAAAACAATTGAAAGCAGAACCCCAAAGATATGTGCATACCCATGTTCATAGTAACATTATTCACAGTAACCAAACAATGAACACAGCTCGTTCATGTGCATTGAAGGATGAATGCATAAACAAAATGTGATATATTGCATACGACAGAAAATAATTAGGCCTTAACAAGGAATAAAATTCTGGCATATGCTACAACATGGATGAGTCTTGAAGACATTATGCTAAGTGCAATAGGCCAACCTCAAAAGGACAAATAGTGGATGACCCCACTTACATGAGGGACATATAATAGGCACATTTCATAGAGGCAGAGGGTCGTATGGTGGTTGCCAGAGGCAGTGGGTACAGAGTTTCAGTTTTGCAAGATGAAGCGTTCTGGAGATCAATGGTGGTGACGATTGTACAACGGTGTGAATGTATTTAATGCTACCGAACTGTACCTTTGAAAATGGCTAAAATGGCAAATTTTACATGGAATGTATTTTACTATTTTACCATACTAAAATTTAAGAAAACCAAGTAGAGAGAAAAATGTCATCTAAAAAATCAGAAAATGAGATTGGAAAGCGTGTGGAACAAGGACGAAAAAGGAAGGGAGGAGGCAAGTAGGCGAGAGGAGCAGGGAGAATGAAGTTGAGAAAGGAGACAGGTGCCGACCATGAGAAGGTGGCCAGGAGAGCCAGCAACAGCTCTTCTGGGGGGGATGGGAGGCAGGAAGAGGACGATGGGCTACCAGCCCCCCTCACGTTCCTTTTCTGTGTTCTGCACGATGTCCTGGTTTCATATTTACCCTTGCTCTGCCAATCTTCTGATGGTCTAGGAGGTGAAGGGACCCAGCAGAAGTTGAGAAGCAGCATCTCGGAGGTTCTTTTCAATTGTGGTCTTTTCCAGTTCACCAGAGCCTCTGAGAAGACACCCCAGTCCATTTACAGAAAAGAATACATCCCTTTTCCAGGTCACAGGCCAGACCAGATCTCCAGGTGGTATGGGAAGAGGAAAGTTGAGGTAAGAGGAGCAGCAGCCCAATGCTCAGGGGACACCGGCTAGCTCCTTATAAGTTCAGTACCCCCCTTGGGAAAATAGGAGTCTCATTAATACCCTCCCAGCCCAGGGGCTGCTGATAGCATTAATCCATAATTGCCTGTGTGAGTTGATGATCTGTTTAATTCCAAGCTGACAACATTCCCCCAACCTATATCCCAGTACCTGACACACTCTTCCAACAGAACACAGGTGTAGAATGGGAGAAACAACAAGGAGGGAAATACTGAATTGAAGAGTCAGTAATCGCAAAAGGTATTCTAGAAGCAGGTAGTAGTGATATTTAGACAGGCAAAGTTTTTTTATTATCTGTACCCCAGCTTCCTGTTTTTTGTTCGTTTGTTTGCTTGTTTTGAGTTGGGGGGGGTCTCACTCTGTTGCCCTAGCTGGAGTGTAGTGGCTTGAATCACAGCTCACCACAGGCTTGGCCTCCTGGGCTCAAGCGATCCTTCCACCTCAGCCTCCCGAGTAGCTGGAACTATAGGCATACACCACCACACCTGGCTAATTTACTGATTTTATTTTGTAGAGATGAGGTCTTGCTATGTTGCCTAGGCTGGTCTCAAACTCCTGGACTCAAGTGATCCTTCCGCCTTGGCCTCCCAAAGTGCTGGGATTACAGGTGTAAGCCACCATGCCTGGCTGTTTCTTGTTCTTTTGTATGAAAAGCCTAAGGCTACACTCACCCTCCTTATTCTTTGGGCACTTATTTGTGGGTATCATTCTGTTCCAGGCGTCCAGAGCAGGGGGCAAGACATTGCAACCTCAAGACATGCCCTCAACACCCAAGGAGGGACACTCAAGGCACATTAACTGAATGTGCAAGAGGCTCAGAGATCCTGGCCCTTCCAGGAACGGAAGGGAGCGCCTCCCCCTACATCAGTCCCTGTGGGCACCTCCCACCGGGCACACCCTCACACTCCCGGCATTCTCCTGAGTCGCTTCTTTTTCCAGACTGCTGCTCTCAGAAGTGATTTATCTCTCCCCACCCCCACCCACCTTACCTGACCCCATGCTGGCTTAAACTCAGGGTGGGAGCAGGGAGGCAAGGACTAAGGTGGTGGAAGCCTTTCAGAATGAGGACATTCTAGAGCTCGGAGGGACCCAAGAGACTGTTTTGCTTAGTGGCCAGAGGTGGTGAGTGTCTTTTCCAAAGCGGTGACTTGTTGATAAGGGACGGAACTGGTCGTTGCTCTGCAGATTAGGCAAGGAATGTCCTCAGATTTCATTTTATCATCTGCCGGAATTGACTATTCTGTTGTGCAGTTGTGAGTCCATATCAGGATAAATGGCACCAGATGTTCAGCTCTGGGCTGGCATCCCTGGACCACGCTGGCATCTCTGAACCATGTCGATCCTCTGGGGCTGCTGACCTTCACTATTAGTGTGCACCAAAGACACAAATGAATTTTAACATAAGCAAGTCAAAATTAGAACACATGACCTGAGGCTCTCAGCCCCCAACCAGCCATGCAGTGAGGTACTTTGCCTAGTTCTTTTGAGTGAGAGTCTCACTCTGTCACCCAGGCTGGAGTGCAGTGGCAGGCTCCCGGCCACCGCAGCCTCTACCTGCTGGGCTCAGGCAATGCTTATGCCTCAGCCTTCCAGGTAGCGGAACTACAGGTGCGCACCACCATGCCCAGCTAATTTTTTGACTTATTGTTGAGACGAGGTCTTGCCATGTTGCCCAGGCTGGTCTCGAATCTGTTGACTCTGCCTCTCAAAGTGCTGGATTATAGGGATGAGCCACCATACCCGGCCTCGTTCTTAACACAATTAGAGTGTGAGGTAGCATTTCTTAAAGACCTTTGGACCCACTACAAACTCTAAGAGGATAACATACAGTCTGATTAAACTAAGAAGCCCATCCTTCCCAAATAGACCCAAACAATTGGGTGTTCATTTCTAAGGATTTTATTCAATTTGTCTGTTTGTGTGGCTGAGCCCTGGATATGGCACTGTTTCCACGTGGCTGTTTCAACTCTGTCAACTCTTCCGTTGGCTTCGTTTTGCCCTCCTGCTCCTAGGACAGCTTCCTTCTCTGTCACCCGCTCCCATCTCACGCTTCCTTCTTAGGCAAAATCTACTCCAAAGCCCACAACCCCAACCACCTCCTTTATCTAACCCTCATACTTCAAGCCAATAACTCCTCTGCCTTAAATCACCCCATGGCCAAGTACCAGACAACTAGAGACCACCTCTAGTGTCCACAGTCCAGTGAAATTATTCAAACTATCCAGTCCTAAATTTGCTCAAACTTGCCTTCCCTTCCTCTCCCATTTGTTCCCATAGAAACCTCAATAAAGGCTCGAGGTCCTGCTCCCCTCTCATTCCCTCTGCCTCTTGACCAACCCTGGTGCTTCCCTATGTGACCTTGCATCCTTGCATGGCATGGCGTGCCCTCTCTTCTTGAGAACAAACTCTCTCTTCTTTTTTATTTTTTGAGTCAGAGTTTCACTCTGATGCCTAGGCTGGAGTGTAGTGGCACAATCACAGCTCTCTGAAGCCGCGGACTCTTAAGCTTGGACTCTCCTTCTGCCTTAGTCTCTCAAGTAACTGGGACTACAGGCACACGCCACCACCCCCAGCTAATTATTTTAATTTTTTTGTAGAGACAGGGTCTTGCTATGTTGCCTAGTCTGGTCTTGAACTCCTGGGCTCAAGCAATCATCCCCTCACCACCTCTCAAAGTGCTGGGATTATAGGTGTTACTCATCGAGGTTGGACCCATATTCTTCTTTTAAAGGTGTTTGTCTCCATGTCTGTCACCTTACCATGCCTGATGAAAGAAAAATCCCAGCTGGGAGTGGTGGCTCACACCTGTAATCCCAGCACATTGGGAAGCAGAAGCGGGAGGATTGTCTGAGCTTGGAGTTGGAAACCAGCCTGGCCAACACTGTGAGACCTTGTCTCTACAATAAATAAAAAAATTTAACCAGGCATAGTGGTGTGTGCCTGTGGTCCCAGCTATTTGGAAGGCTGAGGAAAGGATCACCTGAGTCCAGTAGGTCGAGACTGCAGTAGCTGTGAGTGTGCCACTGCACTCCAGCCTGGGTGACAGAGTGAGACTCTGACTCAAAAGAAAGATGGGAAGAAAGGAAGGAAGGAAGGAAGGAAAGAAGGAAGGAAAGGAGAGAGAGAAAGAAAAAGAAAAATCCCTAGTACACAATCAAAATGGCAGGGCCGCACCCAAAACCAAGAGAAATGGCAAGAAATCTCTTCTGGCCTCTCTACTGTCCCTGCCACCTGCCGCAGTGCCCCCTCCCATGTCCCTCTGTTGATGGGAACCCTCCAACTCCCTTTCCTTGGCACTGGCAATATACTGCATGGCACCTGGCGATGCAGACCCAGGGACCCCTACTTATTGTCTGTGCCCATCCCCTTGTCTCCCTCTGGCATTGTGATCTGACTTATTTATGGAATCACCACTTGAAATATTGGGTGCAGCCAGCGTTTCCAGACCACAGCAGACACAGACCTCCCTGTCTGCTCCAGATGAAAGGACAGGCATGGAAATCAACATTGTCCTCTCTTGTAAATCAGCACAGTTCCCCAGGATTCCCTCCCAGGCCCAAGAGGATTTTCTTAGGAAAAACACCAATTCAGGCAAACATCCCAGGAGGACATGGCTTTCTTCTCCCTGTAAATAACTCCCCACCAAAGAATTCACTCCTCTCATTTCCAGCTGAGGGAGCCATAAATCCTTTGTAAGAGAAGGCAATTTATGGAGCGTTCCCTGAGTCTTCCCACAGTAACTGATTGAAATATAAGGCACACACGTCAGGTTGGTATTCACTGGCTTTCTCTTGCCTTAGAAATAGACACTGGGATGGATGAGACTTGAGGCAAATCAGGGTGAAATTTCAGATCACAGGGCATGCAGTGAGGTGGTTCTGACTCTTCCAATCAGCAGGGTGTCCTGACTTTAATTTTAAGATGTCACCGTAGCTCATTCTAGGGATGAATTAACTTGGTATAGGCTGGGAGCCGGTCATACAGAGCACTGACTGCAGCTAGCTGGGACGTGTGTTTGAAAGTGGGCTGCATCGGGGTGGGAGAAACATTTCTGAGGGCTTGCTGCCAGGCCTTGGGGTACCCACCTCCATTAGCACCACAGACGCCCATGGGAGATAGCTCCTGTCTCTACCCATGGCCTGATGGATGCCTCGCTCCAGTCCATAATATTCCTACTGTCTGTCCTTCTAGGGGCTTCTGTACAAACACCTGATCACTCACCACCAGGAGCCCCCGCATCGCTACCTGATTAGTACCTATGACGACCATTACAACCGGCATAATTACAACCCAGGACTGCCTCCACTCCGCTCCTGGAATGGACAGAAGTTGCTGTGGCTGCCAGAGAAGGCCGACTTCCCCCTTCTCGGTACTTTTATAATTCAGGCTTGTCCCCTGAGTGGGTCTGTAACAATCCACAGGTGCATAGGGCTGAGGCTGAGGTGTGCCTGCCTCTTGCAGAAGGTGATCCTGGCTCCAGGAGAGCAGTCGGGTGAGATGATGGGGAATGAGTGATGTCTTCCCCTCAGGGCTGCCACCTGCCCTCTCCCTTCAACACGGGACGATCTTGGCTGTGTAAGGATGCCCTCACCTGTGCACCGGGGTGGCATGTTTACCTGGAGCACAGGTGGCAGGGAGCAACATCCCTTCTCACTGCCTATCAGTCCTACTTATCCTATGAACAATGACTGAATATGTCCCAGGTGGCACTCTCTGCTGTAGCAGCTGGGGACACAGTGGTAACAATCACTGAGGCATTTCTGCCCTATGGAGTTGACATTCCAGTGCGGAGACAGACAGGACACCATTAACAGATTTGAGAACTTGAGATCAAGTAAACAGGATAATTTCAGACAGAGACATGTGCTCTGTATGAAAAGAAAACTGGTAATGGACAGAAAGTGAGGTGTGGTATTTATGAACCTTCTTTGGTTCATGAATTCCTCCTTGGAATGACAAGGAATGGCCTTTCTGGAAGAGACAGTTGAGTTGAGAAGGATAGAGCCATGTAGGGATTGGGGGGAAGAGCCTTCCAGAGGTGATAGTAAGTGAAAAAGTTCTAAGGCAGGAGTGGAGGAGGACCACATAGGGCACAATGGGGGTTGGGGGGGTGGAGGGGACGATTTTTTTTTTTTGTCCTACCCACAATCTAAGACTTGGAAGGGATTTTTATAGGAGAGTGCCTTGATCTGATTTGAATTTTAAGTCACCCCCACCCTAAGGAAGACAGAGAGCAATGCCATCTTTTTGCCATCCTACCTTTTGAGGCAAAGGGACATGGGTCAGAGAATAAGCTGATGTCACTCTGCTTTACATGGGTTTCTCCGGGCATCACTCTCACAATCCACACTGCTCCCTTCCCTATTGGGGCAGGGCAACCACCCAGGCCCTGGGGTGCCATGCTCAGCCACGCCACACCTCTGCAGCTGTGGCTGGCCTCTCTTGAGTACATAGATGCAGGCCCACCCTGAGACTGCCAGGGGCTAGTGGAGCCAATGCTGTCCTTAAGGCCTTCTTCCCTCTGGTGTCCTGCCAGCCTCGGTTCCTGGGAAAACCTTCAGGGTACCCACCATGTGTTCTCATGGCCAAGTTCATCCAAGCCCAGTTCATCCAGAGCCTGGTGTCTCTTGCAGCTCCCCCTACAAACTATGGACTCTATGAGCAGCTGAAGCAGAGATGGCTGGTGCCCGAGGCTCGTGTGAAGGAGAGCATCTATGCGTCATCCTACCCTAGACCGCCATTGTGTGCTATGTCTCGGCGGGAGCATGCCATCCCAGTCCCTCCACATCGTTTGCACCCTGTCCCAAGCTTCTGAGTACTGCCACCCCACTGGCACCTCAGGCAGAACCTGCTGGAGACCTACAGCGTCATTGGTCTTTGACAGCATACGGCTGCAGATAAATCCAGCCCATTCAAGGGGCCCTCAGAATCATGGTCTGTATTGTACAGCACCTCTCCCTTCCTCCAAACCCCCAGCTTCCTTTCTTTTCCACCCCACAATTAAAGCTCTGACACTATTGTCGTGCCATGTACGGCAGAAGACAGATTCAGACTGTCAGAGAAAACCAGAAGGGGCCTTAAGTTCCACCTCCTCGTGTTTGCAACCTATATTCAAACACATGTTTGGGTTGGGGGGTAGGGAATTGAGGCCCAGAGAAGTAATATGACTCCCTCATGTTCTCACGATGGTGTGATTGGTACCTCAAGGAATGTCTGGTCCAATGAGGGAGACGGATCTGACGACGAGCCCCGTCTTGAAACCTCTATGGGGTAGCTGGGTATAGTTCCGAGGAGGGTGGCCCTGCAGAGCTGTGATGAGGAAGGAGTCCAGCCTGTCCATTGTTGCCTGGGCAAGGGAAGACAGTCACTGGCCTCGTGAGGCTCAGAAGAGGAAGGACACACAGTGTCTCCTCCACCTCTGAGCTCTCAAATTTTTTTATAAGTATGGGCAGACAGGAGTGGTTCAGTAATTGGGGGGGGGGTTCTCCTGACAGAAAAAGCCAGGTGCTGTCTTTGCACAGCACAGGGGTCCACATGTGTGCATGCTTTTCCCTCGTGCAAAATGGCCTCTTTTACAAAGTGCCAGCAGGAACCCTGGGCCCTCTGTGTGCTTGACTCATGGGCACATGTGTGTTTCATCGGTGATTTTACCACGAGGTCAAATAGCATGATTCCAAGTATGGAGCCTGAATGGTACCATCCTTTTCACAGGACACCTGCTGGCCTCAGGCCTCCTACACCAGGGTCACTTTAGCACCTACCGCAGTTCCTTCCTTATTATCCAAGTGTCTGTAGAAGGATGCTGTCTTCCCTCCTGAACGAAAGTCAGAGCCTAGCACATACTAGGTGCTTGATAAATGTTTATTGAATGAGTGAATGAATGAATGACAGGAGGAGAAACCAGGGGTGGAGGAAGATTGCTCCAGGAGACAGCTGTGGGGTGGAATGGAGTTGGTTGTCCTCACACCTCCAACATCCATCCTTTCCACAAACATCCATGACTGAGCTGAGCCCTGACCTCACGGAGCCTCAGTCAGCAGGCAGAGAAGAGCATGCGATCAGTACTTATGGGACAGAGAGGGACTGGGACTGGGGACCCTGGGGGTTAATGAGGGAGGGAGATCATGGGGGAGTGATCATTGTGGGGGGTGTGCTAAAGTAAAGGCTATCATGAGGGCATGTGGAGGAGCGGGGAGGGAGAGCATGGAGACCTGACCTAGTCAGGCTAGCGTCAGGGAGGGCTTCCCTGAGGAAGGGTCATATAGGCGGAGGCTGGAAAACTGAGGGGTTGACCAGCTGAAGGGACAGGTGGGGAGGGAGTGGGAGGTGGCCCAGGTCACGGGAACAGCAGGTGTGGAAACAGGAAGGAGACTGGCAGGTGAGTTAGAAGCCTAGAAAAATGCTGAGTTACTTTCCTTTTGCTGCTGCAGCACAATGCTGCAAACTCAGTGCCTTAAATCAACACACATGTATTCTTTTATAGTTACTAATGTAAATAAAAATGTCACAAACTCAATACTTTAAGGCAACACACGCTTATTTTCTTACAGTTATTTTTATTTGTACTTTTTTTGAGTCAGGGCCTCACTCTGTCACCCAGGTTAGAGGGCAGTGGCATGATCACAGCTCACCATAGCCTCCACTTCCTGGGCTCAGACAATCCTCCCACCTCAGCCTCCTGAGTGGCAGGGACTACAGATACACCACCACACCCGGCTAATTTTTTAAAAAAGTTTTATAGAGACGGGATCTTGCTATGTTGCCCAGACTGTCTTACAGTTACTAACATGAATAAATCAAGGTATCACAAACTCAGCACCTTAAAGCAACCCAAGTTTATTCTCTCGCAGTTCTCTTACAGGTCCAAGTCTACAGTGGGTCATAGGGATGTGTTCCTTCTGGAGGGTCTGGGGGGTGAATCATCTTCTTGTCTTTTCCATCTCCTAGGGGGTACCCCACAATTCCTTGACCCATGGTGTCATCCTCTCTCTCTAGAGCCAGCAGGGCAGCACCTTCTCTCTCTGTCTTCCCTTTCAAGGACTCCTGTGACTACACTGGACCCGCTGGATGATCCAGGATGACCCCCCATTTCAAGAGACTTTAGTCACATCTGCAAAAATCCCTTTGAATATAAACTAACATACTCACAGGTTTTGGGGATGAAGATGTGGACGTTTTAGGAGGGACAAATTCCCTGCATGCGACACCTGGTCAGTCACTTAACCCACAATACACCTTGTCCTTTCCTGGCGGCTGGAGTGGTCAAGGGGCAGTGGACTACAGTGACCCACACCTGGTCAGCACTCTGTGACCCACACACTTTAAAAAGTGACCGTAAACACTACAGTGACCGGAAGTACTTGAAGAGGAGTATTAAGTATTCAAAAGTCAAACTAAAGCATTGCAAACAGTTTGACAAATTGGGGTGCACAACCAACAGGAGCAGTGGTGAAGGATTTCCCTACATTTTCCTAATGGAAAATCAAGCCGGTAAGGGTCCATTTCCCATATCCCTGTCTCAGGTCAACCAGCAGTTCTCAAACTTGGGCTGTATCAGCTTCACCAGGGGGCTTGTTGAAACCCACCCCTGAGTTTCTGGGTCAGTAGGTCTGGGGTGGGGTCATGAAGTTGTATTTCTATTAATTTCCAGGGGATGCTGATGCCACTGGTTAGGGAATCGAACTTTGTTTTATTTTATTTTATTAATTAATTTTATAGTTGTGGGGTACAGTTCAGGGTTAGGTATCCAAAAGGTCATTGTGTAGGTAAAGTTTGGGCCTCACTTTGGTCCCCACTTTACCTGGTTTGAGATCAGGTACCCTTATTGATGAGAGGTACCCTCCTTCCCTTCCCTGGAAGTTTCCCACTACTGCCAATCCCTTTCTTATAATATTAGGATAATTGTTCAGGGCCCGCTTATGATTGAGAACATGTGTTGTCCAGTTCTTTGTTTCTATGATAGATCACTCAGTATTATAGACTCTAAGTTCATCCAAGTTGCTGCGAAGTTCATAATTTTGTCCTTCTTTATGGTTGTGTAATAGTCCATCATGTATATGTACCACATTTTTTTTTATCCAGTAGGGGACCTAATGTTGGGAACCCCTCCACTAGGCTGAGCCAGTCTGTTTCTTTTTTAATTAATTTTTTATTGATACATCATAGTTGTATATATTTTAGGTACAGGTAATAATGTGGTACATTTATATAATCAAATCAGGGTAATTGGGATATCCATCCTTTAAATATTGACCTCTTTGTTATGCTAAGAACATTTCAATTATTCTCTTCTAGCTGTTTAAAAATATACTTAATGATTAATGTTTACTATAGCCCTCCTACTGATTTATTGAACACCAGGTTTTATTTCTTCTGTTTATTTGTACCCATCAATCAAACTCTCTTCATCTGTCTCCCACCTCTCTTCCCTGCCTCTGATAAATGATAATCTCCTCTCTATCTTTATAAGACCCATTTTTTAGCGCCCACGTAGGAGTAAGAATATGTGATATTTGTCTTTCTGTGGTTGGATTAGTTCACTTAGCATAATAACCTACAGTTCCATCCATGTTACTAATGGGATTTCATTCTTTTTTATGGCTGAATCATCCATTGTGCCTATATGAGGATCTGACAATTAAGTTCGCGAACTCACCCTTGGAAAAAGTGCTGTATACCTCATTGTCAAATAGCGTCACTATGTTCATCTTTGAAATACTCTCCTTGGGAAGTTATGCAATGATGTCAGCACCTAGGCCACCCATCAAAGGAACTTTGGAACTCTTTCCATCAGAGCTGTCATCATGTTACGCGTGATGTCCTGAATCTCATCAAAATGTCTTCCTTTCAATATTTCCATCCCCAGGGATGGAATGACCCAAGGACATTTCTCTCTGTCACTCTCCCCCTACTTCCCTGTGACTCCGGGTCAGAGCTTCTTGGGGTCTCCGTGCTCTTCTCTGCCTCTAAGCCCTGCTTTGGCAAAGTTCCCAGCAGGTCTGGGAGGGTGCTGTCCCTGGATGCATGTGTGCCCCAACCAGGGGTGCACACTGGAGGAGCAGGTGAGGAAGAAGCAGGTCACCGCACCTGGCCACCTTCAGTTGTCCCGTAGGAGCACCGTCTCTAGAAGAGCGAATAGGAGTGGATGAGGACCTCAAAACCACCACAGCACCCCGCATGTGAAAGAGGGAGAAGGGCCCCAGGAGCACAGGTCTGGGGGTATGGCCAGGCCATGCCCCTCTCCTGATTCCAGAGATCAGAGTGGGGCCACCAGACCTCCACCGATTCCCATGTACGTCAGCCCAACATGATCAAACTCCTCCAGTCTCCCTGGTGCATCCAGTAGCGATCCTATGGGGCCTCTTGATTCTTAGTCCCAGAAGGAAATAGAAACCATCGTTGGTCAGATAAACAATACTAATGCTTTATTTATTTTTTATTTATTTATTTTTGAGTTGGAGTCTCACTCTGTCGCCCAGACTGGAGTGCAGTGGTCGCTCCCGGCCACCGCAGCCTCGACCTGCTGGGCTCCGGTGATCCTTCCGCCTCAGCCTTCCAAGTAGCTGGAACTACAGGCGCATGCTGCCATGCTTGGCTAATTTTTGATTTATTGTAGAGATGAGATCTCACCAAGTTGCCCAGGCGGGTCTTGAACCCACAGGCTCAGGCAATCCACTCACCTCAGCCTCCCAAAGTGCGGGATTACAGGCTGAGCCACCGAGCATAGCTACTAATATTTTTTCTAAAAAAATAAGTTTAATTTTTTAAATAGATGAGGTCTCACTATGTTGCCCAGGCTGGTCTCAAACTCCTGGACTTGAGTGATCCTTTCTTTTTGGCCTCCCAAAGTGCTGGGATCATAGGTGTGAGCCACCACATGCAGCCACTAATACTGATACTAATACTAATATTAAGACTAATACAATACTAATACTAACACTTGTACTAGTACTAATGCTAGTACTAGCACTAACACTTCTACTAATGCTAGTAATAACGCTAATACTAGTACTAATGCTAATGCCAATGAGAATGTTTCCCTTCTGCTGTTCCAGGGAACGTGCTGAGTCAGCATCCTTTCTCTTGTTAACGGGGCTGCTGTGCAGGTGAGAAAGTGGAGGAGCCCATTTGAGTAGAAACCAGGTAAGTTCAGGCCCTGCTTGCTCCACTGTCTGACTGTCCAGGCCTTCTATGTCCTGATCCACAGTCCAGCCCATTCTCTCCCAGGCTCACGGTCCTCATCTCCCAGAGATGCACCAAAGAGGAAAGTGTCACACAGAAAAGGATGATGGTGTCTCAGAGAAAGTGCCAGCGGCAAGAAACTTCACATTCATGGACCCCTCAGAGATATTCCATGACACTGATCCCAATTTAGAAGAGACAGGACAATTCCTCAAGGCAAAGAGATGTTGACTGCCTGTCTTGTGCTGTGCTGGGGAAGGAGGCAATCACTGTTCAGACTTCCCTTGGTAAGGTTTTCCAAAGAAATAAAGCACGTGGATGCTCAGTGTTTTAGATTATGGTACACTTAATACATATCAATTTTCCTTTTTTTTGGTTTCCCTGTACATTTAACACTGACAGAGAGAGAAAAAATTCTTACTATTCCCACACACATACAACCAGAAATGTTTCAAGCACATGGGACAATCATGATCTTCCTAATGGATTTTTTGAATCAGTTTGCAAGTTTCAGCCTGCACAGTCATTTTTCTGGCCTCACCGTCATTTTTACTATCCTGCACTAATGTGCAAAACCAGGTCTACTGGTACTGAATTCATTTTTCAGTTTCCTTGCTTTTTGTTTGTCTATCTCAATAGCACTCAGATTAGCAGGTGGCACATCCCAGGCACTCAGTAAAGGTCTTTGAATGCATCAAGGAGAGAGAAGTGAGGAGGAGGTATTGGGTATGGGGGGAGTGTAAGATATGCAAGAATCTTTCCTGCATGCGGGAGAGAAAGGTATGGAGAGCTCTTGAGGGGATGTGGGGAGGTTCTTGCTACTTTGTGTTCTAAAACATCAGGAGAATTAATGTGTGCCCCAGCTCAGGATGGGAGTCATGCCTAAACTTGACACATTCTTCAACAGAAAGTGCAGATTCTGAATTTTGTGAGGGGAAGTGAGTACACTGTGCTTAAAGAGAGAAACATGGAATTGTGTTTATATGCCTAGTCGTGTCACTCTGATCAAAATTTGTGTTGAATATAAGGGGAAGGAGAGGACTTTAGGGTTGAGGAAACATTAATTATCAAAATATACTGGAAAAGGGGCTGATGAGATTATGATTGGGGGAATGACCTTGGACACGAGTGGGGCTGAGGCTTGCCTGGGAAATGTCTCACTGTGGGAAGAACCCTGAGTCTAAAAGGAAAGGTCTCTGGGTGGTAGTGCCATGAAGACAGGGAGACATGCGTTTGACCCACGTACATTTCATCTCCAACATCCTGATGGGCCCATAGCCTCCACCCTTAGTGGCTTTCAGACAAGGGGAACGTCTCACTGCCCAGTCTTGGCCACAGTGCTGCCTTTTGGGCTCAGCCTCAGCTCACATTCTCAGATTTAATCTTCTCAAGATGTTTCTGAAGCCGTCTTTCTGGGAGGAAACATGCTTTCCTTTCTGTGGGGGACCAAGACTGAATCTTCCCCCTTCTCTTCAAGGATAATATTGGGCTTGAGAGTCTACATTATCTCTTTTGTAGCTACTCTTCTTTCAATTTTTAAACTCATTCAAGACAAAAGGCTTTCAATACTTTCCCCTCTAACCTCACCAAAAACCCCATGTGTCTCGGTTCATTCCCAGGGTCCTATCAATAAACCTCGCTCCACACTACCCAACACCCACCCTTACTTCTCTTTGTAATTTTGATCTGATTTTCTCCAGCAAAGCCTTGACTTTAGTCTTAGACCAGTCACACCCTCAGGGATACCTTGCTTTCACCTGACTGGGGACCCGATCTGCTATGTTAGTTAACATAAAATCCAGGCGGCCCTGGGATGCATGGATATTTTTCTTCTGTTTTCTTAGGAGATGACACACTGACTTCATAAAGCTGTTTAACTTTGATGTGGCCAAAGACCCCACAACAAGGATCCTTTCAAGTTTTTCTGTGTCATGTCAGGAACAGACTCAGCCCTTCTTGGTCTCATACTTAAGATTATGATATTGACATCCTAGTAGTAAAACCCCATCAATGTTTGTGGATGGAGTCAATGGATGACTTTTGGGGCTTTCATCCTATCATTAATTCTTTCACTTTCATTAATGCATATCTGGTTCCATCAATTAATCTGGAGAAAGCCAAAAATTCATCCAGAATTAACTGGGTGGAGTTTCGGAAATCTAATCAGAAATAACTGATATGAAGCTGGCAGTTAAAAAAAGGTAGGATTATAAAATAAGTAAAATTATAAAGGTAAATAAAAGCTTCTAAGGAGTCATAGGAGTCCCCAAACCCTGAGGCCTGGACTTACTGCTTGTTCCTCTGATACACTGGAGCACCCTGCAAACTGAGTTCCAGATCTGGTAAGTCACTGCCCCCATGAGGACACGCCCATCTGCTGGATAGTCAGCTAGTCTTGAACGGTGACACACAGCCTGGAATGGCAAAGAGAATTATCCTGTGTGTGTTTTCAGATGAACAGATTTAGGCTTTGATTTTTCCTCTAAATGCAATTTTGTCTTCAGCCCTCAAATTTTGGTTTGTGTGTGGTTTACATCATTTCAAAATTCTTTACCAAGCAGTTTTTTTGAAAATAAAAAAGCTTCAATTGTGTAAAATTTTAAAAATATTTTATTTTATTTTTTTACTAAAACTTTAAAACATTTTATACACCACTTCCATTTCTTCCCCTAGACTCCATTCCAAAGTGGGTAAATTTTTATTAAAAAAAAATTTTTTTTTGAGTCAGAGTCTCACTCTGTCGCCCAGGCTGGAGTGCAGTGGCATGCTCTTGGCCACCACAGCCTCAACCTGCTGGTCTCAGGTGATCCTTCCACCTCAGCCTTCCAAGTACCTGAAACCACAGATGCACGCCACCACATCTGGCTAGTTTTTGTGATTCGTTGCAGAGATGAGGTCTCACCAATTTGCTCAGGCTAGTCACGAGCCCCCAGGCTCAGGCAATCCTCTTGCCTCACCTCCCAAAGTGCTGGGATTGCAGGCTGAGCCACTGCACCCAGCCAAAAGTGGGTAGTTTTTAATATGTGTATGAAACATACATTGGCATCTACATCTCAGAGTTAGTGTTTCCCATCTCGCCAATGTCCTATAATCCTGTCACATGGCTTTGCAGTTTCTCAGTATTTAAAAAAAAAAAAAAAAGACTCAGCATAGTGGCTCACGCCTGTAATCCCAGCACTTGGGAGGCCAAGGTGGAAGAATCGTTTAAGACCAGGAATTCAAGACAAGCCAGGACAACATAGCGAGACCCTATCTCTAAAAAAAGTTTTAAAAATATTAGTCAGGTGTGGTGACTCATGCCTGGAGTCTCAGTTACTTGGGAAGCTGAAACAGGAGGCTTGCTTGAGCCTGGGAATTGTGGCGAGCTATGATGACACCACTGCATTCCAGCCTGGGTGACAGAGCCAAACCCTGTCTCAAAATAATAATAATAATGCCACCAGTTTTAGGAGGTCCCTTTAGTCTTTGGCAAGCAGGTTAATTTTGGAAACACAGTGTAGGCTATATTGGGCCACGTGATTAGCTTTCCTTATTCCCATTGCTTTAGGACCTTAAGGGAGAAGAAATTTTTTCTCAAAAACAGTGGAACTTAGTTTTCAGGATCTTTGGTCACACTTCCCAAAGATACCGGGATTTAGTGGAGCAGTGAATGAAAATTAATGGCCTAGTGGTCCTTTTGCTTCCTCCTTGGTATTAGAAAGACACTCTGGTACCAGCAGAGGCAGGACCATATAGTTTGTGGCCACCTAGTGCAGAGTAGTTTTGGGGTAAACGGAGGCATCTTCCACCATTGTCAGAGCCATGACATTGGCCCTAGGAAACATAGGGTTTCTAGGGATTGACTTAAGAATGATTCCCCTGAATGTTTTCCCAGGATTCCTATATTGCATATTTATCAGGATGAGCCTCCAGACCCCACCCAGACTCCTGGAACTGGCGGTGCAGAGCCTGCTGAGGAAGGAAGCCATGGCCAACTCTGCTCTGGAGGAGCTGCCCACGGAGCTCTTCCCACTCCTGTTTATGGGGGACTTCACCAGGAAATGCAGTGAGACCCTGAAGGTGATGTGCAGGCCTGGCCCTTCCTCTGCCTCCCTCTGGGCTCCCCGATGAAGAGACCTCAACTGGAGATCTTACAAGCTGTCCTGGAAGGGCTTGATGTGTTGCTGGCCCAGGAAGTTTGCCCCAGTTGAGGTGATCCAGGTGGCTATGTAGAAAGAGCCTAGGAGTCCAGGGAAGGAACATCTGGGCCAGAAAAAGTGGGGACTGATTGGTGGACCAGAGATGTCTGACAGTGCCAGTGAGGGTCTTAGAGACACTTTGGTCATTGCTGAGCTCCCTCTGGGAAAGGACTTCTGGAATTATAGGACGGCGTGCCATGCAGGGACTACTGAGAGAACAGAAATTTGTCTCTAGTGACACTTACAGGTACTAGAAGAGGGGACCAGGCAAGATGCAAGGGGAAAAGGGGACAGAGAAAAGTTGGAGAGAAGAAGCTAAAATAGGAGCAGCTGATGTCTGGGGTGTGGAGTAAAAGCTCAGAGCAGAAATGGGTCCTTGCCTAAATTCCAAGCCACTTTTCTGGTTTACCCACAGGAGCTGGAAACTCTAAGTACTGAATCTGGTGAATGTTGATGAGAACTTCTGGAGCGTATGGTCTGGAGCTCTTACATAGTCACCCAAGGCGATGAGTAAGAGACAAACTGTGGAGAACTGCCCAAAGATGGGAAGGATGCTGTCCTTGAAGGTGCTCATAGGCCTTTGACTCAAGAAAACAATGCTGGAAGAAAGCCTCACCTACCTCCTTCAGTAGGTCAAGCAAAGAAAAAGTTTATCACATCCGTGCTGTAAAAAGCTGGTGATTTTTGCAATGCCCACTGAAACTGTCAGAGAGGTCTTAAAGATGGTAAGCTTGGACTGCATCCAGGAAATATATTACCTCTGTGAACTGTCCACTCTAGCAAGGTTTACTCCTTACCTGGGCCAGATGTGTAATCTCCACAAACTCATTCTCTTTAACATCCACAAGTCTGTCTACCCTTCCCCAGAGAAGGAGGAACATGTTGCCCAATTCACCCCTCAGTTCTGCAGGCTGGACTATATCCAGAAGCTTTATACATATGCTGTCTCCACCTGGACCAGCTGCTCAGGTAAGGAAGGATCAAGAGCTGTCTCTGCACACCAGAGTGAAGCCCTTCCTTGTGAAGTCAGTAAACACTAAAGAGCATCTGCCGTGTGCCAGCCCCTGACAATGTCACAGCAGAGACACTAGAATGTCAACAGAGTGTTGTGTTCACTGCTTTATCCTGAGATGGGTATCACATAACCACTCTGACAGAGGTAGAGGGATCAAGTGGGGTTGATGCTATCGAGAACAACACCATGCTGAGAAGCTACTATTGGGTTATTCAGATCTAGTGAGGATGCATGCATGAACTCTTCTTGAGAACTTGTGTTCAAGTTAAGATGATGGAAACAGATACATGAAGAGGGTACTGAAGGGGAAAGCCCATCTCACACCTACACATTTCAAAATAAATGCCGTGTCCTCACTGGCTTAGTGAACATGAATGGGTCTGTCTTTAATTTTCTGTTGGTAAAAGGTTTTTCTCAGCCACAGGTCAAGTAATTCACATATGGGAAATGGAGGATTCTGGAATACAAGGTGAGGGAGCAGGAATGAAAAATAGTAAAAGTGACATGGTTTGCTGATGATATAGGCATGTCAGTGAGCCCCTGAATCCTGGCAGCCCTAGATTATGGGGGGCCATTTACGGGGGGCCAGGCCCTTCAGAGAGATTTAGAGGGTCCCTGGAAGGTGGGGCAGCGCCGGTGATTATTCTGGAGAAATAAAGAGAAAGAGAAGGAAAGAGAAAAGGGGAGAAAGAAAGAGACTAGACTTTGTCTGGTGCAGAAGCCGATTCTGTAGTAGGGATAGATATTGAAAGAAAGATGGAGGGATAGATATAAAGAGGAAGAAAGAAAGAAAGTGGACAACTGTTCAGTGAATTGAGCAGAAGCTGTTTATTGGGACCAACCGTGAGTCTTTTATCCCAAATTTTCACGTGTTAAATCACAAGACTTTCACGTGAACACAAGGCCAGGTGGATGAGGCACAACCCCCCCCACACCAGGTGTTTCCTTAAGTGGAAGGACAATTCCAATCAAATCACAAGACTATTATGTGAACACAAAGCCAGGTGGATGAGGGGCATCCCCCACCCACCAGGCGTTTTCCCAAGCATGAGGAAGGACAATCCCAAAATTATCTCACTGTTCCTTATGCTTGGTTTATGTTCCTCAACAATTCTAACATCATAAAATTCTAATAATCAATAACGTCTAAAACTTATGCATACCCAACACCTAATGACTGACTTAAAACCTAATACCTTTCTATTTTGTGCTAACTTTACCTGTACTATAAAAAACTCTTAATTATAGGTCAGACCAGTTCCTAAAGAATGTGGCCCAGTCCAAAGATCACGCCGGGCTGTTTCCAGGAACAATTATTATCTCTTAACAAAATGGCTATTCTAAAATCCTATGTATCTGTCTTAATTTCTATAAAAGTTTCTAATTCCTGATCCTAATATATAAAGCTGATCATCAGCAACAAAGCTTCTAAAAATAAACCCAAATACAAACTGTACTAAAGCCAAAACTGCAATTAGTAGAAAGTAGGGACAATGAAATTTCTAAAGTTAGCTAAATTCTTGTAAAACCTTAAAGTATCATGTTTGATCATGCTTGAACTAACATAATTCCCTCACATAGCACGACCTATTCTACAATACTTTCTATGAATAAAATAAATTCAGTTTCTATTATAAGTAGAAAAAACTTACACTAATTGTAACTAAAGAACCGGTTTGAAAGAATGTAGCCCAGCCCAAAGTGGACGCTGGGCCCTTAGGAATGTGGCCCAGCCCAAAGTTCGTGCTGGGCCATTTCTGGTAACCCTAGATAATCATCTATACCATCTAAAGCTGGAAACAGCTCTCTAAATGTATATACTAATTCTACAACTATACTTTTAAATCTTATAAAGAAGCTCGTATCATGTATAAGGCTCCCAAATGTGATCTGAGTTTGAACTGTGTTAAGTTTAAAGCCGAAACTGCAGTCTGTGAGAAACGGGAACAATGGATCCCTAGAGTCAGCCATGTCTGTCATATTCTCAGAACTTCATGCTTAGATCATCAAAATCCCTGCCAGTGAGTAATGCTAAACAACAAAGAAAGGAGGAGGGAATGGGCCTTCAGCTCCTGAACTAAACCTGGTGGTCTCAGGGTTCACAGCCCACCTGGATCCCTAACGCTCAGGCGGGCCTCCACGGCCGGCTCCCAACACTAGATGATGGGTTCCTGTGGCCCAGGGGTTTGGTATTCTGCTTGACAGATGAGGAAAGGGAGCTTTAGAGTTTGTGGTCTTGGCCCAGTCACATACTGATGATGAAGAGACTCAAGCTCAAATGACCAGACCCTTCAACATGCAACATCCTGGGTGTGACCATCATCAGATGGTCAGAATGACCTTGGGTCTGGACAAAATGATCATTTCTCACCTTGGTTATTCTTCACACCCTCCTCTAACTAGAACCATTCCCCAGAACTAACTTCCTGATCTCTCCCCAAGTGCCTCAAGTCCTCCTTGGATACCTTCCTAATGACTAACTGCCTGCTATCAGAAGTTGACTTGGAACACCTGTCCTGGTGGCCAAGCCTCCATTAGCTAAAGGAGCTGAACCTGAAGGGCTAAAGGAGCTCACTTCAGCCCTGAGCTGCTCCAAGTTCTGCTAGAGAAAGTTGCAACCCCCCTCCAGACCCTGAAATTAGATGAATGTGGGATCACAGACTCTCAGTTCAACACCATCCTACCTGCTCCCAGCTCATGACCCTCAGCTTCTGTGGGAACCCCATCTCCATGACTGCCTTGGAGAGCCTGCTATGCCACACCATTGGGCTGAGCAAGGTAAGCCTAGGGCTGCATCCTTTCCCCCCAGAGTGTTATTATGCCCAGGGTGTTCTCCACCGAAGGAGACTTGCCCAGCTTGGGGCTGAGCTGTAGAAGATACTGAGAGGCTTAAGGCAGCCCAAGAGGACTGTGTTTAGTACCAATCCCTGACCTCACTATGGCGTCAGGGCATATTATGACCTGGAGCCTGTGAGATATAAACTCACCTGTCCAAAATCAAAGGATGAACACAGAGACGGGGAGTGCAGCAGAAGTGAGACTTTAATGATGATCTTGTGCAAGATCAGGTGTCTGGTGGGCAGGCACACTGGGGCTGTTACAGTTAGCATATCCTGGTTTCCCATAGGTTGTCCTCCACAGGGTCACAACTCTTTCCTGGACATCGCCTACATGGTACATATCAATTGGGTCACATAATTAGTTCATTTGCATGTCCCATTTGCTGATTGGTTTAGAGGATTTCATTTTTGATTGGTTCCCTCCAAAATTTGAACATAAAAGCCTGCCAAAGTAAAATGCCCGTGAAAAAGAGAACAAAGAAGCAGGAAGTGACTTAGCAAAGGCATTTAAACATGGCTCAGGGTTTATTTTGAAAATAAATCATTCTATTTCTTACAAGCCTAGTCAGTGCTGCCATTGCATGTCTGGTTTAGTGGTGTGGAGACCTCAAAACTCTCTGGACACCTGGAAACTGAAAGGTAAGATTTGGTTATATCTTACAGGGATCACAGAAATCATTGTTTCAGTTACTTTCTCAGTGTGAACAGGAATAGGAAAAGTGTTGAAGCAGGAGCCAGGACTGGCGAAATCTTGATTCAGAGTCTACGGGACCTTTGGGGACATGGTCCTGTAGACTCAGAAGTAGGAATCTAAATTTCTAGAGCAGAAATCAGGGTTGAGTAGTGTATGAGGAAATTATCCCTAGTTGTAATGAAAGAGCAAGAAATAAAGGGAACTTCAAAGTAAACTGTCTGGTTTCCTCCCTGATTGATCCACCTGTTTTATAGCTTGTGCCTCAGAAATCTCCAGTTACTAAAGAAACAAAGAGGCACTGAGTTGTCTGTGATGAATGTGGTTCATCCACAGGAACTCAAGGCATCGAAATAAAATCTCATCATTCTGATCAGTTTCCTTTGGTTCTTTACTTCTCTTTAGGCATCTGTTTCCTTCTCGCTTTTTTCTGTGGTTATTCATTGGGTTAATGCACAAGATGCACAACTGGGGCCTGGAGCGTTTGATGTGGGAGTGATGATGGGCTCCCGGGGCAAAGCATGTTCTTCTCAGGTGATGAAACCCTGTTCAGCCCTAATGGGGAGATCCAGAAGTATCAATCCCTGACCATTCGCTTGTGCTTTATTCCATAAGGTGTGGGCCCCTGCCCTGGAAGGGGACACACTCACTGTCTATTAGCAGGAGCCTCAGGGCATCCTCAAACCATGCCTGTGCTTATGGAGGGTAGTGGCTTTCCCTGAACTGAAGTCATTGTGCTCAGTAAAGACTTCTACTTTCCCTTTTAGAAAAATGCTGAAAGGCCAGGTGCGGTGGCTCATGCCTATAATCCTAACACTTTAGGAGGCCTAGGTGAGAGAATTGCTTGAGCCCACAGGTTTGAGACCAACCTGGGCAACTTGGTGAGACCTCATCTCTACAATTAATCAAAAATTTAGCTGGGCATGGTGGCACACGCCTATAGTTCCAGGTACTTGGAAGGCTGAGGCAGAAGGATCACCTGAGACCAGCAAGTTGAAACTGCAGTGGCTGTGAGCATGCCACTGCACTCCAGCCTGGGTGACAGAGTGAGACTTCGACTCCAAAAAAAAAAAAAGTTAGTTTTACTTGACCAAAAAAACCCCCAAAAAACCAAAACAACAAACAGGAAAATACTAAAATCATTACCATTATCATACATTTAAAATATTTCTCCCCTACATTAAAAAAAAAAACTTATGGCTGGGCGTGGTGGCTCAAGCCTATAATCCCAGTACTTTGGGAGGTCGAGGGTAGAGGATTGCCTGAGCCCGCGGGTTTGAGAGCAGCCTGGGCACTATGGTGAGACCTCATCTCTACAATAAATAAAAAAATTAGCTGGGCATGGTAGCGCATACTTGTAGTTCTGGCTACTTGGAAGGCTGAGGTGGAAGGATTGCCTGAGCCTAGCAGGTTAAAGCTGTGGTGGCTGTGAGCATGCCACTGCACTCCAGCCTGGGTGACAGAGTGAGATTCCAACTCAAAAAACAAAACAAAAACAAAAAACCTTACAATCTTTTATAAAGCTAAGTCATAGCAGTGAGAGATATTGCTATCACACCTTCCTTATCTTCCTACCAAGAAAAACTAAACTAAGGCATAAACCCGTAGTCAGCCTTTTCACTGCCATAAAAATTTTTGGGGACTTCCCTCAATTTAAGAAACCTGGGCTCAAGGGACCACCTAGAATGAAAAAAGGGACAACGACCTAGAGATAAAGATTTGCTAAGCAATTATATCTAATTAGAACTAAAACATGGCCAGGCACAGTGACTCAAGCCTATAATCCCAGCACTTTGAGAGGCAGAGGTGAGAGGACTGCCTGAACCTGTGTGTCTCAGACTAGCCTGAGCAACTTGGTGAGACTACACCTTTACAATAAATCAAATATTAGCCGGGTGTGGTGGTACATGCCTGTAGTTCCAGCTGAGGCAGAAGGCTCACCTGAGCCCAGCAGGTTGAGGCTGCAGTAGCCGTGAGTGTGCCACTGCACTCCAGCCTGGGCAATAGCATAAGACTCCAACTCAAAAAAAAAAAAATTAAGGTTTGAGACCTAGGCAGGATGATGCTGGGTGTTCTAAGGGAACCCTGGAAATGAACCAAGACATGGTAAATATGTTGGGCATTTTGTGAGGGTGGAGTGTGAATCTGTCCAGCATTGTACCAAGGCTATTTTTATTTTGGGTCCTTGTGGCCAAGGATAATTCTTTCCAGACAACTTGTATATTTTTCCCCATTTTCCTTTCAAATCCTGTCTTCCCTCATTTCCCTCACTACTCTCACATGCATCCCATTTCTTTGCACATTTCATACTTAATATCATTTTTCTTCATGTCTTTTTCTCTAAGTAGTTCTTCTCTTTTCTTGCCAACAAAGATGAATAACCCAGTTTTATTGAAAGAGTCATAGGATCCTACTCCCCACCAGTTGGGTGTGATGTGAATGCCATGGTTATTCTGTCATATCTGCAGTTGTGCACTGCAGTAGGAACCTCCAAGTTTCCTTTGGCCAGCTTCCAAATCAATTACCTGAAGAAGGCCTTATGATTCATGGCTTGCATCCTGTCCCTCAGTAAAGCATCTTATGGTGAGTCTCTCAAACTGCTGAAGTACTGGTTAATATATCACCTACTGACACGGAAAAGGATGTATTTGTTTCTGAATCATGAAGTTACACTGATTACACTGTGGGTAAACATTTTAGCTTGTGTGTTGTCTTCTGTTGCCAATGACTGTCACCTCTCTATTGTACCCGCCTATGGAAAAGGACAACTCTGACATGAGGAATCCCATTTTCTTCTCCTAATTTTCTTATAAAAGCCCTCCAATTCATAACAGACATTGAAAAACTCCCACTTTGTTGAAGAGTCTTCTTGGTTCAGTCATCACACTTGGATTCCGATAAGGCTTAAATAAATTATTTCTGCCTCAACAGTCTTAATTTTAGTCAAAACTAAAATTTGGTTTGTTCATTTATTGAGTTAGGGTCTCATTCTGTCGCCCAGGTTGGAGTGCAGTGGCACAATCATGACTCACTACAGCCTTGATATCCTGAACTCAGGCAATTCTTTTGCTTCAGTCTCCCAAGGAGCTGGGATGACAGGTGAGCACAACCACACCCAGTTAATTATTTTTATTTTTGTAAAGATGAGTTCTCACCATGTTGCCTGGGCTGGTCTCATACTCCTGGGCTTAAGCAATCCTCCTGCCTCAGCCTCTCAAAGTGCTAGGATAACAGGTGTAGCCCCCACACCCAGCCCCATGGTGACGGTTTAAGTTGGGGTAAAAAGAAAAAAGTTTCTATGAATTTGATAATCTAACTCTTCCATGTGGTCTTCATTAAAGGATGATTGGGTGCCTCTTCAAACATGCCCCGAGTACTGATGCATCCAATAAACAAGATTATTCATTATTTCATGTAGTAGAACTCCAAAAGCATTCCATTTGCCTCTAGAGTTTTCACTAAATCAATATCTAGTTGTATGTTCTGTGATGATATGGTACAGGATAACATGGCTGTGTTCTGATTCTTCATCTGTCATCACATACAGGATTACAGTCTTCATCATGTGTGTCAAATCATAGTTTGAACTAAGTATGGAACATCGCCTAGATTTGGTCCTGTTGCACTAATGTTTTCTATGCCTAGGAGATAAATTAGCAATAATGAAAGGAAAACTGGTGATAGACCACCCCTTTGCTTCCATATCTTCTTCCCGGTGCTAAGTCATTTAATGAAAAATATTAGCTGGGCTCGGTGGCTCAGCCTGTAATCCCGCGCCTTTGGGAGGCTGAGGTGAGTGGATTGCCTGAGCCCGCGGGTTCGAGACCCGCCTGGGCAGGCGAGACCTCATCTCTACAATAAATCAAAAAATTAGCTGGGCATGGTAGCATGCGCCTGTAATTCTGGCTACTTGGAAGGCTGAGGTGGAAGGATCACTGGAGCCCAGCAGGTCGAGGCTGCGGTGGCCGGGAGTGGCCACTGCACTCCAGTCTGGGCGACAGAGTGAGACTCCAACTCAAAAAAAAAAAGAAAAAGAAAAGAAAAATATTAGTCTACCTGCCAAGAAAAGTATCCCAAACCTTAGCATGAAGCTAGCATTCTCAGTTGTTTAGCCAAGTGTGTGTGGGAGCAAATTCTGTTGTGATCCTTCCCACTCATCTGAATGGCTACATCACCAGAAATTGTTTTGATTAATGAGACTGGCTAAACTTTGAAAAGTAGACCTAAGAAAATGTTCAGTTTGAGTAGAAAAAGTTCCTAAAAAATAGTTTGAACATTTTGTGTAAGTGCAAAACAAAATGAAGTCTCAGTCAATGGAAGAAGGTTGAATGGAGAAATTCACC